CTGCTATTGGTGCAGGGTTCCCCCTGGCTCACTGCTGGTGCAGGACTTTCCCATGCTGATGGACCCCCTGAGTCAGCTGTTTTGTCTGTGCTATGTGCAGCCTTAGTTCCATCACCTTTTTATCTAGAAGAGATTGCCCTACTCTCCCTGGATGTGGTGAGGGTTTCTTTTACAGCAACAGCTAGAGGATCCTGACTACCAGTGTGACCATCTCAGGATAGATTCGTCAGGTTATTTCTCATGTTTATTTCCTGAAGGGAAAGGACTATCCTCTTTGTGTCAGCACTCATTGTAATAGGCCAGTGAGTGCCTCCTGGTCCTTCTGAAATCAGACATCAGTGTTCCCATTAGACATCAGTGCTGACAACAGTGCTCCAAGATATGCAAGGCTCATACCCATTGCTCAGTTTACTAGTTTTGACATGGTTGCATCAGCTCAGCGAATGCTAGCTTTGGAGGGAGGTCCTGCAGATGGAAGTGACTTAGTCACTTGGCACTTGCTTTGTTTTGCCCTCCATCCCCTTTTTTTGGACTACTTTTGGACTTTTCATACATACATACCCCCCGAACTGCTTCTTTCTCAAATTAGCTTGGGGGTTGGCATTATTTCAAAACAGTATACTACGGTGTCACCCCAAAATATAATGAGAGGCTAATGTTAATCAAAATGATGGAAGCCTGGATAAACCAAAGCCTACTTCTGCTCACCCTTCATAATCGCCATCATCATTGCCAGTAACTGATGAGAAAGACTCCAGTGTCCACAGCCATTAGCACTACCAATTACAGCTGCTTTGTTACCTATGCACCACTGCCACATGTCATTGGCCCCAATAGCAAAGGCCCCCTTTCCCCCCTATTTTTATTATGTTTATCTAGTCACCTTTCCAAACACAGAAGAGGTAAAACATATTGGAAACTTTAAGAGAACTTCAACTATTAAGACCTCTCCGCAAATAAATTCTTAAGAGCGTATTGATTATCTCAACTCACAAATGATACTTTCTCTTTGCTCAACAATTACTTATGTTCTTTTTTTACCATCTATGCTTAATTGTGTGCATTACACAACGATATCTTTTGTACTTTTGAAATGACATCTATTACATACTTAAATATAAATATAATAAATACTGTAAATCTGATCAATTCTGTGATAAATTGACCTTGTAAACTGAGAATTTGCTATACTTTCTACAATAAGCCACAAGTTATAAGCTTTTGTTACTCTTGACTTTTGTCCATGAAAGTTCTATTCTCATCGCTTTCACAGTTAAAATGATACCAGAAACGAAATTACTTTTTGAAGCGTTATATTTACCAGTTCATAGTATGCTGGTTTGGCTGCATTCTTTTTAAGTTATTAAATACTTTTCACTGCAGCTTCAAATTATTTTGCATCCTTCTGATAAGGACCTTTTTGACTGATTTCTTTATAACAAACTAGCGTCCTCCCGTCACCCTAAGCTCAGTATACCGCGAGCTACAGCTCGTGGTATACTGAGACGCCGCAGCCGGAGCAGATTCCGACATCGATGTCGAGATCCGCCCAGCTGCGTGAGTGACAGCTGGCTCTGCCTATCTAGAAGCAGAGCCAGCTGTACCTGACCCTCCCCCGTCCGTTTCGCCAGTCAGCGCTGGAGGATCGGGGAGGGGGGAATCCAGTCCCTCCTGTCACGGCAGAGAGCCGTGACAGGATCGAGAAGTGAGCGAACACCGGCATGTGTTCGCTCACCTCCCGATCTACTGAGCCGACCTGTGACAGTCTCATTGTCACAGGCCGGCTAGAACTATGAGGTGAGTGAAAAGCACTCACCTCATAGTTCTCCTTTAAATCTTAAAAATACATTCAAGTACCCTAACTATTAACAAAAATGTATCTTATTTGTGTATCACTCGGCTGTAGATCCCCAAATCATCTCTGAATTCATGCTGACACTATCCTTCCTTCTGGAGGGTGGCTCCTTTTGTTCCCCATGGTTCTTGTGTGTGTTGTAAAGTAGCCACTGCTCCAAGCTCACTCATTTTTTTTTTAAATTCTTGTTTTTTATTGAGCAGTGCTAATAGAAGGTACAAACCAAGCTCACTCTTGTGATGGACTACAATCTTATGTTTAGTTTACTAATTTGTATTGAGATTGTAGTCCATCACAGGAGTGGAGCTTGAAGCGGTGACTACTTTACAACACACAGGGACCATGGGGAACAAAAGTAGCCACCCTCCAGAAGGAAGGACAGTGTCAGCGCCAATTCAAAGATGATTTGAGGATCTACAGCTGAGTGATGTACAAATAAGATACTTTTTTGTTAATAGTTAAGGTTCTTGAATGCATTTTTAAGATTTAACACACTTTAACTTGCCCAAAAGGTCATCAGAACAATGAAATTATTATATTTGTATGCCACATTCTGAAGAATGCATTGGATGGGATGTATGTTCAAAATGAGAATTCCAGTTAAAAAAATATTTCCAGTTCTGTAAATATTAAGTTTGTACCTTTTTTAAAAGTTTAAAATCTTTAAAAACTCCAGGCCAGGGTACATAGACATTTGTAGATGACTGATTGGCTCCCCCTGGTGTTTTGTAGTGAGATTAGAACTTTAATTCATAGCCTTTTTTTTTCAATTTGTATGAATTATAGCTCCACTTCACTGTCATAGGCACTGCAATGTGATTTCAGCTGCAACGTGGATGTGATTTGCA